GAGAGAGAGAGAGAGAGATACATATATAACAAGCTAGTTTTGTTTTCAGAGTTTCGAAGCGCGGAAGTGAACGACGAGGGAACGAACGCGTCGATATTGGACGCTTTTCGATTGAAATTTGATCGCGAAGGATTGAGCCGCGTTTTTTAATGCGTTCATCGTGGAAGATGTGCGTTATTATTTCATAGGTAGAATAATATTAATCTGAAAGTTACATACAGTATTTTAAAAATTTTATTTTGTACACTTATTGGCTTGCTATTGCATTAACAAATAATCGTTTCCTTCTGGTAAACGAAATTCTTGTTACAGAGAGTCAACAGGGTTAAACACAAGAGTATCTGAATTTTTCAACAAAGGGTGACCCTTCTGTAAAATTACATTCTCTCTTACAGCAAAAATCGTCGATTTTTCTGTTGGTTTTAAATTACTCGAATGTTTCGAGGAAGAGTTTCGCTTCGATTTCGTAATTCTTCTTCTAGCTTCGAGATTAATTAAAAACTATTGAATTTAATCGTCATGAAATGATGGGTTCACGCAGCTGAAATTATCAGAATCAGCGTTGAAAGCAGTAGAAAGCTGAATTGAAAAAAAGTAGGGCAAAAAAAAAAGAAAATAGTGATTCGAAATTCGAAGGTATCTGTGCTCGAGAAAGCCCATTATCCTTTTCTTTTTTTCGGGAGAGAGACCAGCGAAAATATTCAGAAACGGAAATCAGACCGGAAGATAACGGCGACGTGAGCGCCGCTGCGTGGAAACCTAATGGCCGAACATTTCGACGGCAGGAGCGTTATTTAAATAACGACCGGGCGGAGCTCGAAGGAGGCATTTTCTCCCTGAAAATAAAAATTCATTTGGCTGACATCGAGATCACGGCTGGTCCGGTTTTCGTGAATACCGAAAAACTCATTACGCTGAAAGTAGCCAAAGCCCTTTGTACAATTAAACCGGGAATTTTCGCAAATCAGACCCGAATTAGTATTAATTAGCTCGCAATTCCGGCGGAATTCCAGGTATAATGAACGAAACAATTTTGTATAATAAAGCTCGAACGGAAGCTACGAACAATTTCAATCATCAATTTTTCCTCTAACTTTCTTCCGTTCGTCGACCTCACCTCGCTCTTCTCTGCTTGCTATCTGACATCTGTCGTAACAAAAGATAACATTTGCTTGTTTTATCGGATGCGGAGAGAGAGATTTTGCGCTTTAAGTTCTACACTCCTTGCGTTTTCAAAATTGGAATGGTCTTTAATCAGGAAAAGAGACAAAAGTGATCTTTTTGATAATTTTGATATCCTAATGCTCGCTTTGATAATATCAATGGCTGTAGAGTTCTCTTTTCTGAGTCTTGAACGTTTTGAAGTTGAAATCTCATTTCGAAAATCTTCGATATTATATAATCAATACTGGAATGAAATTTAACTCTTTAACTGGAGACGATTCGTCAATGGAATGTCTATGACGAGTTAACTCGTCTTGCTCACTGAGGAGAAGCATTTTCCAATAATAAATTAACTCATTGTCTCCGATTAATGGGTTCGATCAAGTTCTAGCTGATTGAATTTATTCGTCTGAACTTCACCGGACTCGTTCGCATGTTCACGTGTTCCGTTGAACACGCCTAAATTTAAGCTTTTATTTTTTTGGACAAATATCCAAAGCAGCTTTTGCAGTTTTGTTCATTGATGGAAATGTATCTTTGCGTGGCAATCAAAGCGAAGAGTTATAATTACAAGAGAGAGAGAGAGAGAGAGAGAGACTCGTTTACATCTCGTTAAGAAATAATTAACGCGTATTACACGTAATGAGATTTAAGAAAATTCGATTAACATTTAATTCTACCGGTGCTACTGGTTGGAAACTTTATTTCAAACCCCGTCCGCTTCTCGTCATTTCGTGTTCCGTTTCATGAGCATCGAACGGCACACGATAAACGAAGAATAGTAAATGCTCTTCTGAATTGCGAATAATTTTCCATCGTTGTAAAGTTCGCTACCGAAATGGTGGTTTAACGTCGGGTTCATCGTGTATGCACAGCGAGTCATTTAACTGCACCATACAAATCTACTTGCAATCTGTTTGTCGCATAAAAAAATGTTTTGAACAAACAATGTTTAATACGATATTCTGAATGAATATCTTCATTCTGTTTTGTACACAAGTGGCATGAAATTTATATGAAAAGGATTTAACGTTCTTATACTCTACGAAATTCTTATTTCAGAACTCTAAACAATTTTTACACAATGAGATGACTCATATGTTCGAGTGTCCCCGAAATTATATCATTACACGTTTCAACGATAATACGAGCTTTCATTTTTCTAGATATCCTCAAAAACAAAAACAAAAAAAAAAAAAATCAAACAATTTCTCGAATAATTTACAAAATTGACCAGTTTTTTGATGTACACACATAGTTACAGACAAATGATTCACTCTTTACATAATATATATTCACTTTTCTTTGTATTGATTTATACACAACAGGCTCGTTGTTAGTTATCGTGTAACACAATCGATTATTATTATTATTATTGCTATCATTGTTATTATTATCACTGTCGGCGTTACTGTTAAATAACAGTACGGTCGAAGTGGCCGCAAAAAACGCTCGACGGCCACTCGAATTCGTTTCGGCCGTGGATTCGGCCATTTTACGAAAATCGAAATCGATCATTTCAATCGGGCACGGGCAAACACACAGTCCGGGGGATCATTTGCGTTTGTTAATTATAATACACGTTCATTAAGTATTCAAGTGATAACGGCGTATCGATTTTTAACTGTCGGCACACAGGTAGGAACACTGTGTCAGATGAAATAGACGATATTATTATTATCATCATCATCGTTGCCAATTACGTTCGGATACAAGAAATAAATGGCCCGCTGTACATAGAATCGCACGGAGAATATTCAAAAATTTGAACGGACAAGCTGTACAAGATTCAAAATAGGCGATTTCTAACGCAATCGTTGTACCTATTATTAATGGTGATAAAATAATTTCGATCATTATTGGTTGTTGTTGTTATTATTGTATGGTTGCTGACTGCGAGAGATACGAGAGATACGACGAATCGCGAGTGTTCGAAACTGTGAAATATATTGAAATTAGGAGGTAGAAACGTGGAAATGATAATAGCGGAGAGGACACAATTGAAATTACTACAGTTTAAATAACTTTGAAGATAGAACCGAGAGAGATGATCTAATATCGATTGTAATAAATTACGATATATTATTGACACGAATTAGCAAATAATTTAATGTGATACTGTGGTATACTGTAAAAATCTTATTAAATTAATATTAATACCAGTTATGACACATTGATATAAAAGTTAAAAATTAATAATATACTGAACTATAATGCCGCTATACAATATTGCACACTCTCCAAAAAGTACTGTATATTATTATTCATCAGATCAAATGCAGTTTTTCTGAATTTGAAGTAATGGAATCTGCCACACCGTGTGAAATTGAAACAAAATACTTGCGGGAAGAATTAAAAAATGATAACAAGTAATAAATATATTACTAGTCAAATAGCTATTTTTTATTTGCATTTAACACGTGAAAAGTGATAATAGAGTAATCTAACGATAAATCATTCTCCTAAATGTTTTAAATCAAGAGCAAATTACTTTTTGTACTTAATCCACAGGATTCGTCAACAAAATCAACACAGTACTTAGTAGTCTCAACGAATAATTCAAAATTCAAAAAATTCTTTTCTCCCAGGGTCGAAAGTTCAAACATCGAAGACACGAAAAAAAAAAAAGAAAAGAAAATCGATTCAGATCGGTTAATCGCGACGTGCGTTCGTTGAGAACCGACAAGGTTAACGGTGTATCGATTTCCGGCGCAACAGTGGCGTTCGCGGTGGCAAGAAAAAGAAGGAGAAAAAAAGGAAAGAAACAGACGGAGCGGAAGAGTTGCGTGCACGTACGAAAGTACGGGATCGAGGAGGGAGCGCACGCCTTCGCCCGCTTTACTTTCACCACGCACGGGTGAGGGAGAAAAGAGGAAAGAAAAAAGAGGAGATGGAGATGGAGATGGAGAGAGAGAGAGAGACAGAGAGAGAGAAGAAAAAAAGAGCATACCGCGGAGGAAGTCGGTTCCCACGGCGTCTCTGAGCTGGCGCGTACGCGCCTCCAAGAACCGGAAGTCTCGACCGCGACCGCGACCTCGGTACCCTCCTCGAGCGTCGTCCCTACTCTCCTTGTTAGCTCGACGTCCAGTGCAGACCCTCCGTGATAATGGTCGTTACAGAAGTCACCGGTTTCCCCCGGTGCCATTAAACCGAAACATTTACGATTCCGACATTCCAGCTCTGCCCCTCTCGTTCCCTCGTGTTTCTCTATCGAGAGATGATCAACTGTAATGCAGAACTGCGATGATTTTTTTTTTTTTTTTAGAGGATATACACGCATAGATATATTTTGTGATTGACCGAATCTTGATCGTTGATTCGATAGCAGAGTGATGCGCAAGTAGAGTAAGTGAAGAAATTTGTTTGGGTTAGAAAATTTTACGTTTAGCAAAACGTCGAGTGATATAGAGTTACGTATTAATTAAGTGCAATATTAGTTATCAAGGGCATTGGTAGAATATTAATTCAACGGTTTTTCTTTTTTCTTTTTTGTTTTATGACTATGATTAATAATCTTCAAACTGTTAGGATGCCTGGTAAAATTTCTAATGTTGTTAATAATATGGTTATTGTTTATATTATTATTGCTTATTGTTACAAAAAGAAGTTTGAAATTTTATATGATGTTGTTCTTATTAAATAGTATTTTATATATGAATACATATATCAGATTTGGACATATCTCAAAAGTGGCAATTTCTTTACGTATACGGCAAATTAATATTAATGTTGGTGGCAGAGTGAGGTGATATATTGTACGATCTAATGAATTATTTATTTGAAATATATTTTGTCTTCTTGTTCCAATTAAATACAAGAAGACTATAGATTCATTGTAGTAAGTGATATATAAAATTAAATGATATTTATATCTAATATTGTAGGCCATTAATTATCTTCACAGAAATTAATATCTACGAGTCAATTGTAATTTTTTAATAGAGATTAACTAAAGTTTATTTATATTATTTTTCCGTATTAAAAAAAAAAAAAAAAAAATTCATCTTGGCGACGAGGAACATGCTAAATGATCGTCAGAAATAATTAGCTTTATTGTTTACTAAAATTTTCAAAGATCGTGTCAAATTCAAGACTACAAGGTGTACAGATGTGAGTATGATTACGTTTATTTTAGGTATAGAGGGCAACGACATGCAAAGAATAGAGGTTGTTAGGAGGTTACTGCGTTGAATTAACCCCAATAGGTCTTGCGAAGAATTCGATACGTATATTATTGTATAGAATATAGCGTAGAACAATCGTTTAAATAATTACTTACTTATAATTTGCTACGTAACAGCGTAGTCAGTTAGCCAAAGTGGATTGTCTACGTTTCTAATTGAGTTTCAGATTATCGATTAACTGCAGCAATCAAAGTTCCACCTCGATATTGCGTAGAATGCAAGGAGATATCAGGCATTTATCTGTATCAAATAAATCTATATCTCTATCAAATAAATTTCGGAATGTATGTCTTTACTAATGTTGAGAATCATTATTATCATTGTACGTTGAGTGAACACGCATAAAATAGACCGATATTTTTAATTAATAATGTATATTTTTCATTTGTAGAAGATCTTTCGTCTTAATCTTCAATAAATATTTACGAAATTATTCCAGTTTCTTTTTTATACAGTATACTTTTAACTAAGCATTCTTTATTTATAAAAATAATTTCATGTTCTTTCTTCCAATAATGCAAACATAATAACGTTAACACACGATAGTATTAGTTCAAATAATCTTTAAATTATTTTCCAATAATAATCTTCGCTTATAAATGCACAATATAATATATAGCTTTTTAAACTATACTACTCTCTTTAATCGAAGAGTTCCATCTACCATTTCGGAACACTCAAAGAAACTAAAGTTTCATTATCCTCTGTGCTGTCCTTGTTTTTCTTTGTTCAATTTATTGCATATACAACATGAATTTCTTTAAAATCTAAAGACACACTGAAACCTCCCTGAAGTTTTATTTCACAATTTTTCACTTGAAAAAACAATATAAATGTCACCTAAAAGACTATTTTCATTATACCAACGTTCCTTAAATTTCCGCAAGGATATAAATTAAGAACTCCGTTAATCGAACAATCCACAGAAGTGTTAATCGAGTGTCGATCGATTGAAGAATTCTACTCAGAAGCCCCGATCTTCGAT